AGTTTGCTGAAATCACTTAAACCAGAGCTAATCACTGCAATGCGTCTAACAGGTGAGGCGGCAGGAGACCAGTTATATTGGCCTACCCTGCTCCCTTTGTTCCACCTTAATGAGGTTTCATACCTTTTCCCCAATCAACGGTTCCACCTGAGCATCCATTTAGTGTCTTCTGGGAGCTTCTGTAGTACTTTTGCCATCTTGTGGTTATGCTACTGGGGTTTAAATTGGACTATTGCTCAATTGTTTTAATTATGTCTTTTCTAAAAAAAATTTGTTCTGTTGAATTTGTTGCAAACTGCTCTGAGCCTGCTTGTGGGGGAGAAATACAATAAGATAGATAGATGATTGCTAGATAGACAGATGATAGATAGATGATAGATGATAGACAGACAGACAGACAGATGATAGATGATAGATGATAGATAGATAGATAGATAGATAGATAGATAGATAGATAGATAGATAGATAGATGATAGATAGATAGATAGATAGACAGAAAAACAGACAGACAGACAGACAGACAGATGATAGATAGATGATAGACAGACAGACAGATAGCTGGACAGACAGATGATAAATAGATAGACAGACAGACAGACAGATGATAGATAGATGACAGACAGACAGATAAATGATGATGATAGACAGACAGACAGATAGCTAGATAGACAGACAGATGATAGATAGACAGACCGACAGACAGATGATAGAAAAATAGACAGATACATGATAGATAGACAGATGGACGGACAGACAGACAGATAGATAGACAGACAGATGATAGACAGACAGACAGATAGCTAGATAGACAGACAGATGATAGACAGACAGACAGATGATTGATAGATGACAGACAGAACGACAGATAACTGATGGTGATGATGATAGACAGACCGACCGACAGACAGATGATAGAAAAATAGACAGATACATGATAGATAGACGGACAGACAGACAGACAGACAGCTAGATAGGCAGACAGATGATAGATAGACAGACAGACAGAACGACAGATAACTGATGATGATGATGATAGACAGACAGACAGATGATAGAAAAATAGACAGACAGATACATGACATGATGATGATGATAGACAGACAGACAGATACATGATAGATGGATGGACGGACAGGCAGGCAGACAGAGAGACAGGCAGAAAGGCAGACAGATAGATAGATTTTGGTGAGATAAGCCCTGACCTGGGTGGCCCAGGCGATCCCTATCTCATCACATCTCGGAAGCTAAGCAGTGTCGGCCCTGGTCAATGTTTGGATGAGAGACCACCAAAGAAGTCCAGGGTCACTATGCAGAGGCAGGCCATGGCCAACCACCTCTGTTCGTCTAGATCAGGTCTTGGATGCAAAGTAGGGTCGGGGCCCGGGTTAGTATTTGGACGGGAGACCACCAAGGAAGTCCAGGGTCGCTACTCAGAGGCAGGCAATGGCCAACCACCTCTGAACGTGTCTTGCCTTGAAAACCCTAAAGGGTTGCCTTAAATCAGCTATGATTCAGCAGCAAAAAAGAAAAGGGTATTGATGGGACTCTTGAAAAGTCCAGGGGAGCATAGCTGGGTAGGATAGATGAGTGGAGTTTAGAGTGTCATAAACAGCTGCCGTGGATATTTTAAAAACCAGGTATTTTTAAAATCAGAGGAGCAATCAGTTTAAAAAAAAACCCAAGTTTCCTCTTTGCTGCTTGTGCAAAGAGAGCTAACACTTAGGCAGGAAAACTCTCTTAAAGGAGACCAGTTTCTTGACGCACAGCTAGACAGCCACCTCTGAACGTGTCTTGCCTTGAAAACCCTAAAGGGTTGCCTTAAATCAGCTATGATTCAACAGCAAAAAAGAAAAGGGTATTGATGGGACTCTTGAAAAGTCCAGGGGAGCATAGCTGGGTAGGATAGATGAGTGGAGCTTAGAGTGTCATCAGCAGCTGCCGTGGATATTTTAAAAACCAGGTATTTTTAAAATCAGAGGAGCAATCAGTTTTTAAAAAACAACCCAAGTTCCCTCTTTGCTGCTTGTGCAAAGGATGTGAAGAGAGCTAACACTTAGGCAGGAAAACTCTCTTAAAGGAGACCAGTTTCTTGACGCAGAGCTAGACAGGATCCTAGAGGTCACCCACTCCAACCCCCTTGCTCAGTGCGGGAATTAGTCAGCTACAGCCCCCTGCTCTGCTTAAAGGAGTGCACGCCTTTAAATAATGCTTGAAAAAAGCGTTTATAGAAGAAATTCTTGTGAGGCTGTGCCTTTAAGAAAGGGGGGCGGGGATTGGGGAAGGGAGGGACTTCAACGGGTACGATGCCATAGAGTCCACCTTCCAAAGTGGCCCTTTTCTGCAGGTGAGCTGATCTCTGTCACCTGGAGATGAGTTGTAATCCCAGGAGATCTCCAGCCACCACCCAGACCTGGCAACATTAGTGGGGTCCTGGCCAAAGTCGTCTTGTTCCGGATAGAATAAAGTACGCTTTGCTGAAATCACTCTCCGTTTGCGTACTTTTCATCTGCGGAAATGCTTCGCTAAGATGGTCTTTTTTACAGCTCCCCGCCCCCTTAGGTATTAACAGGCAGACCATAAACCTCTCCTCCTGACTTTTCCCAGGAGCAATTCTATGCACTGGGGGGAGGGGGGGAGCCCGCATTTATTTTTGGCCAAGAGGGTATGAGTATTTTAAAGGTTAATCATTAATTGGACATGGAAATCCAATCTAGAATGCAAGCAAGAAGCAGTGTAACACTACAAAACGTGGCGAGGGGAGTTTTTCGGAACTTTATTTCTGCGCCCGTTTTATGTATTTATTTAAAACATTGTTAAAATTGTATAAATCGCTAGCCCGTGAGCAGTGGTCCTCTTTATCAACCCAACAAAAAGCGTGGCATAAGGATTGTGGGATGTCATTAATCCCTGACCAATGGGCTAAGATATGGTCGTCTGGTCTATTTGTTACTGAATCCTTGAATATTAGGTTACAAAACTATAAACTATTCGCCCGCTGGTACATTACACCTTTAAAACTATATCATTCAGGATTAATGAGGGATTCGAAGTGCTGGAAAGGCTGTGGTCAAACCGGTTCTTTTTTCCACTGTTGGTGGACATGTCCAAAAGTGCAAGGTTATTGGTCCTCTATAATATCTAAAATTGAGGAAATGCTGGAGGTAAGCCTTCCGAAAACACCAGAAGCTATATTACTGAATTTATGGGGAAATACTCATTTTACGGAGCTGCGGTGGCTCAAGTGGTTAAGACGCTGAACTGCAGGCTGTGGAAGGTCAGTAGTTTAGCAGTTCGAGACCCGGGTGCCGCATGATGGAGTTGAGCTCCCATCTTTAGTTCCAGCTCCTGCCAACCTAGCAGTTCGAAAGCAAGTAATTGCAAGTAGATAAATAGGTACCACTTCGGTGGGAAGGTAACAGCGTTCCGTGGGCCTCGGTGTTTAGTCATGCCGGCCACATGACCACGGAAACGTCTTCGGACAGCGCTGGCTCTTCGGCTTTGAAACGGAGATGAGCACCGCAACCCTAGAGTCGGATTCGACTGGCTTTCGAGCAAGGGAGACCTTTACCTTTACCTTTACTCATTTTACACCAATCTTAAGAGAATCTTAAGAGAGCTTATTTCATTAATGCTGATCGCTGCTAAAACATTACTAGCGAATATGTTGTCACTTGGTATTTTTTTAAATTGTTTTTTGATAGTTGTCGTTGTTAAGAGAAAACTTGTCGGTGCCCTTAGCAGTTGGACTGCCATTAATTTAACTGTGAGCAAATACTGTAAGTAATGAATATCTCCTTTATTAAGGCAAGCTTGCTCTGGCTGCTGTACAACTGATTTTAATGTTAGTTTTAATTTCTATTAATTGTCATGTTATTATTATTTATTGTTATGTAGTCACTCACAGTCTCTGTGACTCTAACCCGCTCTGAGCCCACTTGAATAATAATAATGATAACAACAACAATAATATCATGGATAGTGTTACCTATTTGAATTTTTGCTGTTTTTAACTGTTTTAACTACTGAATTATTGTGTTTTAACTACTGGATTCTTGTATATTGTGGTTGCGATCCGCCCTGAGTCTGCTTGCGGGGAGGGCAGAATAAAAATCGAAATGAATAAATAAATATTTCTTAATGTCGTGATGGTATCAATGGTTAATACAGGCAAATGCTTCACCGTCAGTTTTCAGGGTCAGACCTATCAGCGTAGCAACACCACCCAGTGGCCACCTGTTGTAACAACAGGCTTCTGGGAACAGAAAGAACTGACCGTTTTTACATTTGGCTTTGCGGAAAGCACTTGTTTTTCCCCTTTAATTGTCACTGTTCCGTTGGTTTATTTCTGTTTTTAATAGTGTTCAAACCCCCCCCCCAAAAAAAAAAAAACAACCCAATTTTGGATCATTATTCTGACAAAAGAAGAAAACGTTTGGTGAATTGATCACACCCATAGGAACTTTTAAAAATTGCAATTCATTGATCTTTTTATTTATTGACATTATTTATAATAAATAAATTCAATTGTGCGTGTGTGTATATATATATATGTATATTTGGTAAACCATCATGAACGCAAATAGTCCAGCGCGAGTTCGAAGAAACGCATCCAAGCGCTTAGGTAAAAACTAGAAACTACAGTTCCCATCAGACATGGCGAGGACACCGTCCTCTTCGCCTTTTCAGGTCAATGGGCAAAGCGGGAGTCGGAAACTACGTTTCCCACAATGCTGCCCGCTGGAACGTCAGCGCTAAAAAAAAAAACACAACCCGCACGCCCCATAGTCTCACCCATTGGTTTGTCGTACGGAAGTTCCGCGGGCGCTCAGAACAAAGAGGAAAACGTTACCCTTCTTATTGAAGGAGTCGCCGTGATCCTGTCCAATGAGAAGACGTAGAGCGAGGGGCCGGGCGGGGGGACGTTCTAACCACGCCCCCCTTCCCTCTTGGCGGGAAAGCGTCTCCGTTTTTCGCGCCAAAGGCGGGGCTAAGAGAAGGCAGCCTTAAGCCTGCGAGAGCAACAAAAAAAGTTAATATTTTTGTTCTTTTGCGGGCCTTTCGGAACACGTCGGAATGGCGGCTCCCGTGGACGACGTGGAACTGCGAGAGGCTCAGCGAGATTACCTGGATTTCTTGGACGACGAGGTGAGCAGGGGTGGGGGGAACCGGCTGGGGTCGGATGGAGAGTTCGTCGTTAGCCTAAGTAAAGGGGTTGCCGAGTCCCGGAAAGGGAACTGTAGTGCTAAGGCCTTGCCCTGGGATGCAGTGGGTAGCAAGAGAAAAAGGGCACCTCTGAGCATGTGTAGAGTATTTCGTGAGCCGGGGTGGGTGGTTTCAGACAGAAGGGTGTGTTTTCTAGGCAGGCGTGAGTCCCCTTTTGGGAAACACGCACGGAGTTGAGGCTGTGCGATACATAAAGGTAAAGGTCTCCCTTGCCCGAAAGCCAGTCGAGTCCGACTCTAGGGTTGCGGTGCTCGTCTCCGTTTCCAAGCCGAAGAGCCAGCGCTGTCCGAAGACGTTTCCGTGGTCACGTGGCCGGCATGACTAGACACCAAGGCGCACGGAACGCGATACATGGCACAATCCTAAAAGTCCAGTGGCACCTTTAAGGCCAACAAAGTTTAATTCTGGGTAGAAGTTTTTGTGTGCATGCACACTTCCTCGGATATACGTATCTGAAGAGGTGTGCATGCACACCGAAAGCTTATAGCTGGAATTAAACACTGTTGGTCTTAAAGGTGCCGCTGGACTCAAACTTTGTTCTGTTGCTTCAGAATGATAGATGGCTACCCGCCTGAATGTTTACATTTGCAACTCTCAACCCATTGATTTAGGACTGCATTGCATGCATGTATCTGTGCTGGGTGGGTTCTGCTCTGTGATACCTGAGACATGTGAAGCGGCCTTATGACATTAGTAGAGACTCTGACAGATCAATGGCTGGTCTGCTGCTGCTATTATTATTGTTATTATTATTATTAATTAATAATCACCCTGTCCCAGCTTTCTCTGGGTGATGTACAGTAAGGCATTAAGTCTTAGGAAATATATAAAAACGTTAGTTTGTGAGCAAAAGTTCTACTTTGTGAGCTACTGGCATTAAAGCTGTGAGTGAGCGATTGGGCTCCTGCATACATTAGTTTGCTCTGGAGCCATCCCTTCCTGAGCCAAGACAAAAATGTGTGAGCCGGAGGCTAAAAAACTGTGAGCTAGCTCACACTGACTCAGCTTAGAGGGTGGTGGTGACCCAGAGCAGTGTACATCACTCTGATCTCCGCTGTTTTATCCTCACAACAACCCTATGAGGGTAGGATAGGCCGAGAGTGTGTGACTGGCCCAAGGTCACCCAGCTGGCTTCCATGACACAAGCGGGGATTCGAACCTGCATTTCGCAGATCCTGGTCTGACACTTTCACCACTGCACCATACTGGCTGTTGCGTCGATTAGCTGTCAGTGAGAGAGGTTTAGAAAGCCCAAATGCTTTTGCCTCTGATTTAAGTTGCAGATGCCATATTTCTTGAACTCACTGTATGAGACGGCTAAATGTGTTATCTGCAGGTTGCAGTGATCCGTGTTAGATAATTTGGTGCAGACGATTTTCTTGCCCTGATAGAAACGGCAACTGGGTGTATTAAGAACATAAGAGACACCAATGTTGGATCAGGCCAAAGGCCCATCCCGTCCAATACTCTGTGTCACACAGTGGCCAGAAATACCAGTGCCATCAGGAGGTCCACCAGTGGGGCCAGGACACTAGACGCCCTCCCACTGTTGGCCCCCCCAAGCACCAAGAAGACAGAGCATCACTTGCCCCAGAGCCCCTATCTACACCTTGTGGCTAATAGCCACTGATGGACCTCTGCTCCATATGCTTATCTAATTCCCTTTTGAAGCCGTCCATGCTTGTAGCTGCCACCACTTCCTGTGGCAGTGAATTCCATGTGTTAATCACTCTTTGGGTGAAGAAGTACTTCCTTTTATCCGTTCTAACCCGACCGCTCAGCAATTTCATGGAGTGCCCACGGGTTCTTGTATTGTGAGAAAGGGAGAAAAGTACCTCTTTCTCTACCTGCTCTTTCCCATGCATAATCTTATAAACCTCAATCATGTCACCCCTCAGTCGTCATTTCTCCAAGCTAAAGAGCCCTAAGCGCCTTAACCGTTCCTCATAGGGAAAGTGTTCCAACCCTTTTATCATTCGAGTTGCCCTTTTCTGCACTTTTTCCAAAGCTATAATATCCTTTTTAAGGTGTGGTGACCAGAATTGCACACAGTATTCCAGATGAGGTCGCACCATTGATTTATATAGCGGCATTATGATATTGGCTGATCTGTTTACAATACCCTTCCTAATAATCCCCAGCATAGCATTGGCCTTCTTTATTGCAGTCACACACTGTCTCGACATTTTCAGTGAGTTATCCACTACAACTCCAAGATCTCTCTCTTGATCAGTCTCTGCCAGTTCAGACCCCATCAACGTGTATTTATAGTTAGGATTTTTGGCTCCAATGTGCATCACCTTGCACTTGGCCACATTGAACCCCATTTGCCATGTTGACGCCCACTCGCCCAACTTTGACAGATCCCTTTGGAGTGCCTCACAATCCTCACTGGTTTTCACCACCCTGAACAACTTTGTATCATCCGCAAATTTAGCCACTTCACTGCTTACTCCCATCTCCAAATCATTAATGAACAAGTTAAAAAGCAGTGGACCAAGTACTGATCCCTGCGGTACCCCACTGCTTACCACCCTCCACTGAGAAAATTGCCCACCTACACTCACTCTCTGTTTTCTATGAACTAGCCAGTTTTTGATCCATAAAAGGACTTGTCCTTCTATCCCATGATTTTTGAGCTTACTTAGGAGCCTTTGATGAGGAACTTTATCAAAAGCTTTCTGGAAGTCAAGGTAAATAATATCTATTGGATCCCCCTTGTCCACATGTTTGTTCACCCCCTCAAAGAACATTAACAGGTTAGTGAGACAAGATCTTCCCTTACAGAACCCATGTTGAGTCTGCCTCAATAGGTTTTGTTCATCTATGTGCCTACTAATTCTTTCCTTAATAATGGTTTCCACCAATTTACCCGGTATCGACGTCAGACTGACAGGCCTGTAATTTCCCGGATCTCCTCTGGAACCCTTTTTAAAGATGGGAGTGACATTAGCTACCTTCCAATCCTCAGGAATGGAGGCAGATTTTAAGGAAAGATTACATATCTTTGTCAGGAGATCTACAAGTTCACATTTGAGTTCTTTCAGAACTCTCGGATGTATGCCATCTGGGCCTGGTGATTTTTCAGTTTTTAAGTTGTCTATCAGTTTTAGGACCTCCTCTCTCGTCACCTCAATCTGACTCAGGTCTTTCAACACCCCTCCCGAACTCAGCGGCTCTGGAGTGGGCAAGCACCTCTCATCTTCCACAGTGAAGACGGAGGCAAAAAATGCATTTAGCTTCTCAGCCATTTCCCTATCATCCTTCAATACTCCTTTTACCCCTTGGTCGTCCAAGGGCCCCACTGCCTCCCTGGCTGGTTTCCTGTTTCTAATGTATTTGAAGAAAGTTTTATTGTTGGTTTTTACGTTTTTTGCTATATGCTCCTCATATTCCCTTTTTGCCTGCCTGACCTCAGACTTGCATTTTATTTGCCATAGCCTGTGTTCCGTTTTATCAGCCTCACTGTGACTAGCTTTCCACTGCTTAAAGGAATTCTTTTTACTTTTTACAGCCTCCATTACTCTGTTTGTTAACCATGCAGGCTTTTTCCTATACCTGTTTGTGCCTTTCCTAACCTGCGGAATATATATTTTTTGAGCTTCTAGGATCGTAGTTTTAAATAGATCCCAAGCTTCCCCAATTGTTTTGACCCTTTCTACTTTTCCTTTCAGTTTCCTCCCCACGTGTCCCCTCATATCAGAGAAATTACCCCTTTTAAAGTTAAAAATGGTTGTGTGAGTCTTTTTGGCCAATTCTCTATTTGTACAAATGATGAACTCAACAACATTATGATCACTGTTTCCAAGCGGTGCAATCACTTTTACATCTCTCACCAGGTCTTGAGTGTTACTTAGGACCAAATCAAGGATCGCCTCTCCCCTGGTAGGTTCCGTGACCATCTGCTCCATAGCACAGTCATTTAGAGTGTCTAGAAACTCAATCTCTTTTTCCCGACTAGAACACATATTGACCCAATCAATGTGTGGGTAGTTAAAATCACCTATTATTACACAGTGTTTTTGTCTAGTTGCTATCTTTAAGGCATTCATCATTTTATAATCCTCCTCTATCTTTTGATCTGGTGGGCGATAACAAACTCCCAGTGTTAAGTTTCCTTTTGGCCCCCCTATTTCAACCCATAGAACTTCCAGAAGCGAATCCAATTCACTTAGCCTCTCAATCTTTCTAGACTTTATACCCTCTCTGACATACAGAGCTACCCCACCTCCAACCCTTCCCCCCCTATCCTTCCGATATAATATATAACCGGGAATCACTGTGTCCCACTGATTTTCCTCATCCCACCAAGTTTCAGAAATACCCACAATGTCTATTTTTCCCTCCGACACCAAGCACTCCAACTCCCCGATTTTACCTCGGACACTTCTAGCATTTGTATAGAAACAGCTGTAATTTCCCTTACAAGTTAAGCCTGCATCCTTCCTCTTGCTATCTCGAGTCGTTGTCCGGCAGTCCATGTCACCAGCCATGGCCTCTGTGGACAATTTCAATCCACCTCCCTGTAGAAAAGCAACCGGTACCCCCTCACCTCTCTCAGATGAGCCAACCCGAACCAGAGACTTTTCATCTCCTGTCGGCTTTCCCCCAATATTCAGTTTAAAAGCTGCTCTGCCACCTTTTTGATTTTAAGTGCCAGCAGCCTGGTTCCTTCTCGGGACAAGTGGAGACCGTCTCGCCTGTACAGCTCCCTCTTGTTCCAAAAAGTATCCCAGTGCCTAACAAACCTGAACCCTTCCCCCCTACACCATCGTCTCATCCACGCATTGAGACTCCTGATCTCTGCCTGTCTCTCCGGCCCTGCGCGTGGAACAGGTAACACTTCTGAGAAGGCTACCTTGGAGGTCCTGGACCTAAGTTTCCTGCCCAGCAGCCTAAATTTCTCCTCCAGGACCTCACGACTGCATTTCCCCACATCGTTGGTGCCGACATGCACCACGACCACTGGCTCCTCCCCAGCACTATCTACCAGCCTATCTAAAACACGCGTAATGTCCGCTACCTTCGCACCAGGCAGGCAAGTCACCATACGGTCAGTACGCGGGTTCGCCACCCAGCTGTCTACCTGCCTAAGGATCGAATCACCCACTACCAAGAGCCCCCCTCCCACCCTGCTCAGGGATGGTTCCTTGGTGCAAAAGGAGAGCCGCTCACCAGCTGGGGAAGAGGTCCCTTCTGAGGGCACATTCCCCTTATCCTCAGCATGGTGCCCTGTTTCCCCTAGACCCTCATGCTCCCTGACAGCAGCGGGGCTGCCAGATCCAGAGTGGGACGAAGCTAACAAGTCCCCGAGAGTCTTTTCTGTGTGCCTAGCTGACTGTCTCTGCTTCTCCAGGTCAGCCACCTTGGCCTCAAGGGAGCACACACGTTCCCTGAGAACCAGGAGCTCCTTGCACCGAGGACACACCCAAGACTTCTGCCCAGTGGGCAGATAGTCATACATGTGACACTCCGTGCAAAACACTGGATAGCCCCCAACCCCCTGCTGGCATTCTGGCTTCATAATTCTTTTAAAATAAATAAATATAATCCCCCTTTTAAACCCTTGGTATTTATGTGGGTTTTGTTATCAAGTCAAATTATTTTACGGGAAAGACAAAGAGCCTAGGGCCTTGTCTTTCTGGCTCTTTTTGGGCTTCTTACAGAGCCCCTAGTCTAAGAGTCCCTAGGCGAAGAGCCACAGGCAAAGAGCCCTTTAGCTCGTGCCTCTGGCAAGGTGCTTTCTTAAATACTGAATTACAGTCAATCATAGTCAAACAGTGCCCCTTCCTCTCCCTCTCTCAAGCATCCAGGACTCTGCAACAACTCTAATCGCTTTCACACACTCCCAAACACAGTCCTCCCACACAATATCCTCAGCTGAATCCCCTCAGCTGAAAGCAAGTAAAAAAACACTCACCCCTTCTAGCAGCTCAGCTGGGGTCCCTGCCACACGCAAAGTGCGGCTTTTGAAAGCCACGCCAAAATAGACACGCAGCGGCGGGATCATACAGATCCCGTGACTCGCCGCGCAGTTGCTCCCCGGCACGATCAGATACCGGGGAGAAAGCGACGAGACAGAGATGGAGGCTGCCAAACTGCACATGTGTGAGCATGCGCAGTTCAGCCAGGGGACACTAGATGGCAGTTCGGCCAGAAGGACGTGCTGGCGATCCCACGGCCGCGTTTGATGCGGCCGTGCTTCCCAGATGTTGCGGTGGGATTGCGCCCCTGATCCGTCCCTCTCCCAGCCCAAAACCTTTCGTGTGACTGGGGCCTGGGTATTGCGTCCATACAGAAAACAATAATCTCAGTGTTGCTGTTTTGTTGCAGGAGGACCAGGGGATTTACCAGAGTAAAGTCCGGACGATGATAAGCGACAACCAGTACCGTCTGATTGTCAATTTCAATGACCTCCGAAGGAAGAATGGGACGGGGCCTGGGTATTGCGTCCATACAGAAAACAATAATCTCAGTGTTGCTGTTTTGTTGCAGGAGGACCAGGGGATTTACCAGAGTAAAGTCCGGACGATGATAAGCGACAACCAGTACCGTCTGATTGTCAATTTCAATGACCTCCGAAGGAAGAATGGGAAGAGAGCCAGCCGGTATGTTTTGAAGTCGATAAGTGTTTCTGGAAAGATTGAAGTCAAAGTATTTATGTGCCGTGTGGACAAGAAAGTGTGCGTTTTCCTTGTATCAGTGACACCCTCCTGTCCCTGCCCCCCCAGCCGCCATTTCCCTTGTTGCCAACAGGCATTTTTCACTTTTTTTTTTTTTAAAAAAAATTGCAGTTGACGTACAGTTTGGTGTAGTGGTTAAGTGTGCAAATTCTAATCTGGGAGAACCGGGTTTGATTCCCCACTCCTCCACTTGCACCTGGCTGGGTGACCTTGGGCAAGCCGTAGCTCTGATAAGAGCTGTCCTTGAAAAAGAGCAGTTTGTGTCAGAGTTCTCTCAGCCCCACCCACCTCACAGGGTGTCTGTTGTGGGGAGGGGAAGGGAAAGGAGTTTGTAAGCCGCTCTGAGACACCTTTGGGTAGTGAAGGGCGGGGTATAAATCCAGTCCTTCTTCTTCTATAGCATTATTTTGATTGATCGGCTCTTCTGAATGCCCATTCCCCCCCCCCTTCAAAGTAAATCTCTAGGCCCTTTTGTTGGAAACATTGATCTTCCCTCCCATACCCCTGCAGCAACAATTGCTGGCGGCTTTTTAAAAATTGAAAGCTGGGAAAACTGGAGGAACCATAGATGATCGTCTGCAGTTGATTGGAAACAAGTGCCGCAGAGGGCGATACGTTTCTTAAGTGGCCGGGGAGGGGGGGCCCTGTTTCCTGATGGAGACTTGCAGTGTTCAAGGGGAACGGCGGAAGAATTTGAGCAAGAGTCCGGGAGCACCTGAAAGACGAACAGAACTCGTGGCGGGGCAGGAGCTCTCGGGAGTCACTGCTCACATCTTCAGATGCAGCTAGAATGTGTGTCCGCGTGTCCCTTCATTTAGGAAATATAAGGACAGATATCTAGGGAATATAAGGACAGGTGGACTCGTGTTCTAGCTGTGGTGGCCGTGTTAGTCTGTCTGTCGCGGTAGAAAAGAGCAAGAGCCCAGGAGCACCAGGGCGGGAGCTCTCGTGAGTCTACCTGCTCACGTCTTCGGATACAGCTAGAATGGGAGTCCATCTGTCCCTTCATTTAGGAAATACAAGGACCAGGGCTATTTTGGGGCAGGAACGCACAGGAACGGAGTTCCGGCTGGCTTCCAAGTTGGCCACGCCCAGCAGGAACTCATTAGCATAATAGGCCACACCCAACAGCAGAAACTCATTAGGATTGGCTACATTAGGGGTGTGTGGCCTAGCATGCAAAGGAGTTCCTGCTACAAAAAAAAGCCCTGGGTAAACAGAATAAGCAGCAAAAGGTGGGTGTGGCTGGATGACCACACTTCTGGTAACATGGGGGTGCGGCCTAATATGCCAATGAGTTGTGCTGCCAGGGGTGTGGCCTAATAGGCTAATGAGTTTCTGCTGTTGGGTGTGGCCTATTATGCTAATGAGTTCCTGCTGGGCTTTTTCTACAAAAAAAGGCCCTGACAAGGACAGATGAACTCGTGTTCTAGCTGTGGTAGCTGTGTTAGTCTGTCTGTCGCAGTAGAAAACAGCAAGAGTCCAACAGCACCTGAAAGACCAATAAAATCCGTGGCGGGGCATTCGCTCTCGTGAGTCACTGCTCACTTGTTCAGTTACAGCTAGGATGTGATGGATCGAGAGGGGCAGCCCTGTTAGTCTGTCTGTCTGTAGCAGCAGGAAAGAGCCAGAGTCCAGGAGCACCTGAAAGACGAACAAAATCTGTGGCAGGGGAGGCGCTTCCGTGAGTCTCCCTGCTTGCTTCTTCCAGTAGAGCTGTATCTAAGGAAGTGAGCCGCGACTCACGGAAGCGCATGACCTGCCACAAGTTTCGTTAATCTTTCAGGTGCTCCTGGACTTTTGCTCTTCTGCTACAGAAAAACCTAGAAGAATTTGACGCAGTGGTGCTGCGTACAGCATCGCTTTGGCAAACAGGCGGCAGAGGAGGAGGAAGACGGCTGCTACGGTTCTCTCAGTGAACTGGTGGCTTCCTCCTCCAAAGCCGCCGGACCTCACAGGGTATCTGCAGGGTCGACGCAGCCGTGCGGATCGATCCTCGGCTTTTCCCGGCAGCCCAGCCTCTTCGGCTTTTCTCCCTCTCTCCTTTTAGCGTGCTGAACTATGCCTTTGAAGAGATGGTGGCGTTCCAGCGCGCCCTGAAGGATATGGTCGCCTCTGTGGACGCCACATACTCCAAGCAGCACGAAGAGTTTTACGTCGGGTTCGAAGGCAGCTTTGGGTCGAAGCACGTGACGCCCCGGACGCTGACCTCCCAGTTTCTCGGCAGCATTGTCTGCGTGGAGGGCATTGTGACAAAATGTGAGTGGGAAGAGCCCTGGGAGAGTAAAGTGGGAATTGCAGAGTGGTGTGTCAGGAGAGAGCCAGCTTGGTGTATTGGTTAGAAGCGCTGACTCTAATCTGAGAGAAACGGGTTTGATGCAGCTGCTGGTGTGACCTTGGGTCAGTCACAAGTTCTTTCAGAGCTGTTCTCTCAAGAGCAATTCTTGGGAGAGCTCTCTCAGCCCCACCCACCTCACAGGGTGTCTGTTGTGGGGAGGGGAAGGGAAAGGAGTTTGTAAGCCGCTCTGAGACTCCCTTTGGGTAGTGAAGGGCGGGGTATAAATCCAATCTCTTCTTCTTCTTCTTTTACTTCACAGGGTGTCTGTGGTGGGGTAGTGGTGGGGTACCTTTGGGTAGTGAAGGGCGGGGTATAAATCCAATCTCTTCTTTTTCTTCTTGTTTTACCTCACAGGGTGTCTGTAGTGAGGAGGGGAAGGAGTTTGTAAGCCGCTCTGAGACTCCTTCGGGTAGTGAAGGGCGGGGTATAAATCCAATCCTTCTTGGTGTAGTGGTTAAGTGCGCAGACTCTAATTTGGGAGAACCGGGTTTGATTCCCCACTCCTCCACTTGCACCTGCTGATGTGACCTTGGGTCAGTCACAAGCTCTGGCACAGCTGTTCTTGAAAAAGAGCCGTTTCTGTCAAGAGCTCTCTCAGCCCCACCCACCTCACAGGGTGTCTGTTGTGGGGAGGGAAAGGGAAAGGAGATTGTAAGCCGCTCTGAGACTCCTTCGGGTAGTGAAGGGCAGGGTATAAATCCAATCTTGTCTTCAGTCTCTTCTTAATACCAAAGGGTGCTGAGTTATTTAATTTATTTAAAGTCCATCTTTCTTGCTGAGACTCAGGGCAAAATTACATACTGCAAGTCAAATACAATCAACCGGACGGGCCATCCAGTGAACAGCACAAATGAATGAATGAATTAAGCGAAGAAACAAATAGGGCGTGGACTTACAGAGCTCGGAAATCAAGCTGCCATCTCAAACAGAGCTGAGACAAAACATTAGCTTTTAAACATGATACGTTAAGTGCAGTCGAAACTACCTAATCTAGAGCACACTCATAAAAATAGGGAGCAATATGGTAGTATAAGCCGCAGTTCCCTTTACCGATGCAGCTTCCTCAGTTTGGCGTGATGTATCTTTTAGCAGGCTCTGCGCTCCTCTTCTGGCTTTCATGGGTGTAGCGGCAAACAGATCTTTTTGAGGACTGATAGTAATTTTGGTGTGGCGTATTTGCATTGGAGAAGTTGGCTCACTCCGCAGTCATGTGGGGAAGGACCAGCAGGGCTGAAAGGGTTAAGAACCCTTCAACCGTTGTTTTTTCTCCCCTTGTTTACATTGCAAAAAAGTGCTATCGAGGGGTGCTTCATCCTTCCTACACATGCTGGAGCAGAAGTCCATCCGTGGCTCTTAGCCGCAAGGTATAGATGGAACACTCTGTCTGGGGCAAGGGATGCTCTGTGCTCTTGGTGCTTGAGGGGCAAGAGTGGGAGGGCTTCTGGGGTTCTGGCCCCGCTGGTGGACCCCCGATGGCACCTGGGTTTTGGCCACTGTGTGACACAGAGTGTTGGATTGGATGGCCCATTGGCCCGATCCATCATGGCTTTTCATATGTTATGCTGATTCTCCCCGCCCTGCAAACAAGTTGCACACATACTGTGATTGCCTGTTAAGGCTGGCTTTGAAGAGGATGAACACACATAGAATCACAGAGTTGGAAGGGACCTCCAGGGTCCTCTAGTCCAGCCCCCTGCACAATGCAGGAGATTCACAAATACCTCCCCCTCCACACCCGCTGTGCTGCCTCCAGCCAGCGTCTATCTGTAGTTTAGTAAAACTGCTCTGTATCTTTAAGACTTGTTGCACCCTGGGAATTGGAGTCCACAGTTAGGGGTCCCAGAAGCTTCCCTCTGACTGGCTCATTAAGAGTTAATTTCCTGAGCTCAGCGGCACAAAGATAGGAGCTTTATTGTTCTTTTCCGTTTCTTTGTCCATCAACCCTTACTGCAAGGAGAGGGGAAGCCCATCTCTTTCTCACCACGGCTATAGAACTGACCTAGATCACAAGATGTCACTTTCCAACCAGCTATCTGGTCGATTGTGAGTAAATGATCTTCTGAATGCGTGTGAAGTTAAATAAAGATGATTTAAGCTCTCCTCAGTGGCCGTGCCGTTGACTCACACCTAGAGAGCGTTGGCTTAGCACAGCTCGCGCTGGACAGGACACCCGCAGTGACCGCTGTTGCACACCCAGAAGATGACAAATAACGTCCAGGATCCCCGGCCAAACTGGTCTGAAGAAAAACTGCTTCCTGACCCCAAAGTGGCAGTTAGCATTTCCCGGGGCGTGTAAGAAAGGGCCACAAGAACTAAGCACTGAGGCGACCCTTCCTGCCCTCCCTCTCGTGATCTGCCTATGTTCACAGAATCGGCACTGCTGTCCGATGGCCATCTAGCCTCTGTTTGAAAACCTCCAAAGAAGGAGAGCCCACCACCTCCCGAGGAAGCCTCTTCCACTGAGGGACCGCTCTGTCAGGAAGTTCTTCCTCATGTTTAACTGAAAACTCTTTTGTTCTAATGAAGCTGCCTTACACCGAATCAGGCCTTTGGTCCATCAAAGTTCTCATACCTGGCAGAAGGTCTCGGATAGAGGTCTTTCACGTCACCTCCTGCCCGGTCCCTTTAGCCGGAGATGCCGGGGATTGAACCCGGGACCTTCTGCATGCAAAGCAGAGGCAGCTACCGCTGAGCCACAGCTCCCACTTTATTTGCAGGGAAGGACTGGCAGGCAGGAGGGGGTGCTTAGCTCATCCTCTGCCTAGTCAGCACTCAGATCAAGAACAAAATTAGCTGAGGGGGAGAGCATTTGAGTACGAAGAAATAAGGTAGGGTAGAAATGTTTCAAAGTCCCAGTTGAGTAAGGCAGACCATGCATCATCTAAATAAATGAATGAATAAAGCAAAGAAAACATTTCTAGCTTTGGAATTAGCTGGGGTTGGGGGAATTGGTGGTGGGGTGTAAAGCACCCTGGGCTTGCAGGGGAGAATTGAGGCAGGAAGGGTTAAACGCCCCTCTGCCTGCAACCTGTGGCCAACAACAGCTAGTTACTTGTGGAAAGTCCATCTGTGGAGTGTGTCCCCAGTGTGGAGGTTTCATTTTAGCGTTGTGATCAGTGTTCCCTCTAAGCTGAGTTAGTGTGAGCTAGCTCACAGTTTTTTTAGCCTCCGGCTCACACATTTTTGTCTTAGCTCAGGAAGGGCAACCTAATTTAGGCAGTAGCCCAGTCGCTCGCTCACAACTTTAATGCCAGTAGCTCACAAAGGAGAATTTTTGCTCACAGAGCTCCACAGCTTAGAGGGAGCATTGGTTGTGATCATTAATACCCCTGTCTGATGAGAAGATCACAGTCCGTCTGAAGTTTCTTGTCACGTACATTTCATAATTCCAATGAGGCAAGAATGTCGACACACCTCTGTAACAACGCTCCCTCTAAGATGTGGAGTCTCGTGAGCAAAAATTCTGCTTGTTGAGCTCCTGGCATTAAAGTTGTGAGCGAGCGATTGGGCTGCTGCATCAATTAGTTTGCTCTGGAGCCCTCCTTCCTGAGCGGAGACAAAAAATGTGTGAGCCAGAGGCTTAAAAACTGAGCTAGCTCACACTAACTCAGATTAGCTGGAACACTCACCTATAATAGAACATAACCCATTTGCCCATTTGCCTAAGAGTTCCTGTGAGATCGGGTGCAGCTGGTTGAGTGTTACTGAAGAGCGGCAAACCTTAGGGCCCCAGTGGCAAATCAGAGTTTTTTTAAAAAAATCCTTTTCTAATATTCAGGATGACTTGCAGCAGGTTGGAAACGGCTTTAGGATTATGGCAGTATTACGATTGTACTCTTATTTGAGAGTAAGCCCCGCTGAACCTACTAGAACAGACTGGAGATGACATGCATAGGATCGGACAGTTAATATGCTCTTGAAACCTGCTGTGCTCTGAGACCAGACTTTGCAGTTGAGTCTGTGACTATCTGGAGTGAATGCTGGTCAAAATGATCAGCCAGCTAAATATTCCCCCCCCAGGCTCTTTGGTGCGCCCCAAGATCGTCCGCAGTGTGCATTACTGCCCTGCTACCAAGAAGACCATCGAGCGCCGGTATACAGATATGACATCGCTGGAAGCTTTTCCATCTAGTGCCGTTTACCCTACAAAGGTGAGCTAATGGGGTTTTGGGGCATCCTCTATGTGATCCTAGCAATGGAGCAGAAGTTTCTTCTTGGTTCTTATGAAGGTAAAGGTTTCCCTTGCTCGAAAGCTAGTGGCTGTCATGACTAAATGCCAAGGTGCACGGAGTGCTTACTTACTTTTTATTAATACAGTCATTGACCAGCATAAATTGTGTAATACCATTCAGAAGACATCAACAATATGTACAGAACAAAATTTAAAACACTAAAACGATTAAAATTCTAATTCGAATACACTTCATAGTATCTCTTGGCATATTTTATAAGCAACTGACAAGATAGAAGCTGTGACTATTGGGTTAGCACCCATAAGAAGCATTTTGCAAAGCTCTGTATCGGAGCGACCTGGAAATTTGCACGGAACGCTGGTACCTTCCCACTGAACGAGTATCTATTTATCTACTTGCAATTTCTTGCTTCCGAACTGCTAGGTTGGCAGGAGCTGGGGCCAGAGACGGGAGCTCACTCCGTCATGCGGTGCACTCGGGTCTCGAACGGCCGAACTACCGACCTTCCGGTCTGCAGCTCAGCGTCTTAACCTTTGAGCCACCGTGGCTCCTTCATGGCTCTTATAAGCGTACACATATGATTTAAAAATAAATATTTTGGAATTTGTGAGGTGGGTCCAGCCTTCCTTCAGCCTAAGGAAGCTTCCGGAAGAACCACTTCGGTATTTGTTATTGGGAGACCCCAGTAGTGATTATAGCTGAGAATGGATGTAAGAAAGATCTGTGGATGGCAACAAATACAAGAGTGAGCAAACAGATGTGGGAGCGAGTTTGAGTTCCCCACCTGAATCTAAATTGTACCAACACACGCAAATGCAAATATAGAATATATTTTCCAGGCCAGGCGGGTTGTACATGAGTCACTGAAAAAGTGTAGCTCCAAATAATAGTTATAAACCAGGCCTGCATATACTGAGGAGCCCACACTCATCACAGATGGTCACGATGAACATTATGAACACTCATCGGAGATGGTAACCCTGAACCACCATTCCGTCCTCAGCCGTTGCAACCCTAACCCATTTTTTGTTCCTGTGTGAACCAGAAAGTTCATGTGCCTTATACTGTATCAGACCCTCGGTCCATCAAAGTCAAACTTGTCTACTCAGACTGGCAGTGGCTCTCCAGAATATCAGGCAAAAGTCCTTCCAATCATCTACTGTGGTCAACAGTGGGAGGGCTTCTAATGTCCTGGCCCCACTGCTGGACCTCCTGATGGCACCTGGTATTTCTGGCCACTGTGTGACACAAGAGTGTTGGACTGGATGGGCCTTTGGCCTGATCCAACATTGGCATCTCTTATGTTCTTATGTTCTTCTGTACTGCCTTGTCCGTGTAACTGGAGATGCTGGGGATTGAACCTGGGACCTTCTGCATGCCAAGCAGAGGCTGTACCTCTAAGTGTTTCTATTGTGGCCCAGAAACCCCGTGACGATACCTCTCTTATTTTGTGTGGTTAGGTATGATGTGGTTTTAAATTTCTTGCTGTTTCTTTCTCTCACTCAAAGTATCCGTCGCTGCCACCAGGAATATAATCCCAGTCTTTAATTCATCTTTCCCACAGTATTGTGCCCAAGCTCTAAAGCTCCTTTGTTGGACTATGCGGTTCTGAGGATGAGACTCTGGGTTAACAATAAACAAGATAAAACTTTCCTGGTAAACAAAGCCTATTGGTTACAAGCAATGCTCCCTCTAAGCTGTGAAGTCCCGTGAGCAACAATTCTACTTTGTGAGCTACTGGCATGAAGGTTGTGAGCGAGCGATTTGGCTGCGGCGTCAATTAGCTTGCTCTGGAGCCCTCCTTCCTGAGCTGAGGCAAAAACGTGTGAGCCGGAGGCTAAAAAGCTGTGACCCGGCTCGCTCTAACTAAGCTTAGAGGGAACACTGGTTACAAGAGGTTTTGTTAAGTTGCTTTAGTAAAATCTTTCCCCCCTTTTTACTCAGGTCTCTGTCGGCTTTCCCCCGCCCCACTCTTATAATATTCTGACAATATAAGATTTTGCCTAAGTTGCCCCCTGAAGTATATTTTCTTCCTCCTTTAGAATCTTAATGAGGAGACTGCCTCTTGGACTCTGTGTAGATGGACCACAACTGACGTTAAACTTCAAACTTGCACACTCCGCCAATGTTCCCTCTAAGCTGTGGAGTCCTGTGAACAAAAATTCTACTTTCTGAGCTGCCGGCGTTATAGTTGTGAACAGGCGATTTGGCTGCTGCGTAAATTAGTTTGCTCTGGAACCCTCCTTCCTGAACTAAGACAAAAATGTGCAAGCTGGAGGCTAAAAAACTGAGCTAACTCACACTAACTCAGCTTAGCGGGAACACTGCACTCCGCCTTCTCTCTCTCCACACACACACACACCTCCTAGCTCCGCCCCCACACTCTCAGTCACCAGCCAATCACCTCACTCACTCATCTCCCTCGTCCACCCCCCCTGTTCTACTGACGCTTACCAGCCACTTAAAGAAACACACTCGTATAACTCGAAATCACGACAGACCCCTTTTCTGATATCTCCGAAACCCACGGTGACTTGGGTTTTCCGACACTGCTTGTGCTGCAGGACGAAGAGAACAACCCCCTGGAGACAGAATACGGCCTGTCCACCTACAAGGACCATCAAACCATCATCATCCAGGAGATGCCGGAGAAAGCACCCGCCGGGCAGCTCCCTCGCTCTGTGGACATCATTGTGGACGACGACCTGGTGGACTCGGTCAAGCCAGGGGACAGAGTGCAGGTCGTTGGGACCTTCCGCTGCCTGCCCGGGAAGAAAGGAGGCTACACCTCGGGGACATTCAGGTAAGCTAGGCGGCACTGGCCCTTGAACGGGAGTTGGTTTTTATCACCCTTGCTGGGAATAGCTTATTGTTGCTTTGTTGTGTTGGGGCTGTCCGGTCCCACACTCTGTGTCACACAGTGGCCAGAGATACCAGGTGCTATTTTTCTGGGGTCTGTACTTATTCTGGCCTGCCCTGCTTTCCCCTTTTGACCACCTCTGACCAATTAGAGATGTATATGTGTGTAGGAGTGAAAAAGATTCTAGTGTCGTGCCACCTCTATTGGAACTGTCCTTTCAGCACTATTTCTGGAAAATCATGTCCAAGCAACCTAGATGGAGGAGTGAGATTTTCCAAGGGCCCTGTCCAATAAACAGAGACATTACAGGTTTAAAACAGTGTTATCATCTACCCAGCTTTATTATCCACACACGTATTCAAGAAAGCAGAGATATGTGGAAACAATCTATTAGCAGGTAGAATTAGGGCAAAAAGCTAGTAAAAGAACAGAAAGCTGGTTGCTCATAAATTTTACAAAACCTTACATATCCCGCTTCTTAAGAACTGGGCCCAAGACTGGGTTGTTAGAGACCAGAGAGCTGACACTTTCCCATCTGTTTCCTGTCATGGAATTGCAGGAGCCAGGTCTCCCTATAGCAGAATTTGGACACCAAGCTCCCCAGCCGGCTGTCCAGTTTATGGACTTTCCCTCTAGTTTGGGAGTTTCCTTCTCGGGCTGATCAAAACTTCGTGCACACGAAAACTCATACCTCGAATAAAACTTTATCGGTCTTAAAGGTGCCACTGGACTCAGGCTGTGTACTGCTGCTTCAAACCAACATGGCTACCTGGATCCATTTCAAACTTAATGAAGCCGATGAATCGATGCATTTAGATTTATATCATATGTTCATCTCATTGACTTATGCTGTACTTCTGATGTTGTAATATTTAATTTTATTCATCTGTATTGTACTTTTGAAAATATACAATAAAAATGTTATTTTTTTTAAAAAAAGTATAAATTGGTGGAATTTTGAGTGCCACCCCCCAAGAAACTGAATGCATAGGGGTAAGAAGCTAGTAACAATTGTTCAGGGGAATTGATGGCCTAGCCCCAAATGGTGAAATTTGGTGTAAGGATTCTTCTGCTTAATTCTTCAGCATCTACTCTTTCTTCCCCACTGTTCCTAATGGGCTCCCCTGCTCTGCTATTAGTATTTTAAAGGAGAAGATTGTGTACTCTTGAAAAATATGCATTTTCTCTTTTAAAATGTCAGTAGTAGAATGGGACGGGGGTGGTGGTTAAAACTAACTGGAGGGTGAAGGGTTAAACCTGTTTCCTCTCCCTACAGCAGCATTTATAGATGGGAGGAGATGTGCAGTCTTTGTCATGGCTGGGTCAGCTCAGATTTAAATGAACCG